CCTGCTTGCCCCTTTTCATTGAACTTGATTTAAATGCTTATTATTGTTCTCAGTGCCTTCTCCCAGAGGCACACCACTTTTTGTGCTTGTGACAGAGAGAAACACTGAACTCCATTTAACAGCCTCCTCTGAGCTAATGTACTTGGTTTTCTACATCAGACAGCCAACTCTGAAGAGGTGGCTGTAGATTCAAGGCAAATCCCTCCCTGTCCCACGGAACCAAAATGAGGGGAATTCATTGTTTGCAATAGGGCAGAGATGAGGAGGCAGAGAAAGTCTGGCCTTAACCATAACCTCCTGTGCTCAGCCATGCCTGAGGAAGAAGAGGCACCTTGCAGCAGCAGAGAAGTTTGGTGTTGGTTGACAGATGGGGAATTCAGAGCACAAGTTAAAAAACGTGCTTAGGAGATGTTTATGGTTCTAAACCTTCTTTTGTGTGCATATTATTATGTGATTCTATAAGGACATTAGGATCACTGAATACAAATGAGATCTTTTAAAAGGAATCATCTTTTTTTAATAGTTTTGTTTTCTTTCTTATTATCACACCATCTCACATACCAAACCACGCTAATGGCTTTCTTGCATTGAGTGCAGCAATACATGTAATGAAGCACAATCTCAGTTGCAAGAGGTAACAGGCAAAGGAAACAGTATTTTGCATCTAGCGGGGAAAGAGAACATGGCAGTATAAACACCTTAGTTTGCATCCGCATTTAATTTTGGCAGCACATTTGACTAGTCTAAAGTGGACAGACATCTCTTAAAACAAAGCCCTTAATACTGGAATGATGTAAAATATTCTTGTAAATCAAACTAAGGGCAGGATCTTATGACTATTTGTCTTGTAAACCTTTAATATGGTCAAGAAAGTCTGCAATGTTCCTACCTGCTGGCAAGTCTGAATAAACTGGAAGAGTGAATGCCAGTTGCCTAGTTGTGACATAAAAGCATCCCTTTTCCCAAACACGGCAATGCCTGTATAATTCACCCCAAATCACTCAGAAATTCAGGGACTAATCTGTGAAATGAGCTGATGGGCTCTCTTCAGAATTTTAAAAATCAGATGCATTTCTTTTCTAAATTAAATCTTTGTGAAGTTGTGGTTACTCACAGGACTGCCCTCTCAACCTCTGGTTCTCTGGATTTTCTCTTTGTTATATTTTTCATTCAGGCTGGCAGCACACTGAGCTTGTCATCCAGCTTCCTGGATGCTGTCAGATGCTTAAAGAGGAAAACATGCAATTATTGTGAAAGATAATGTGCTTTCCCATGGGAGATACTTGGTGGAAGGAAGAAGGGAATAAATCTAATCTTAAGCTATAGTTCAACGTTTATGTACTGTACCAGAGCATGCAAAATGATAAATCTCAGCATGTTTCAGTTATATTGGCTCTTCTACATTACCCATCCTGTAATCTAGACATGTCTGAGCCACAGTTCACAAGGAGTGATATGGGGAAAGAATAGATTAAAGGCGAAGGAGCAAAGGCAAGAGAAGCAGCCTTCCTAACTCTTGATGAGGAATGTCTAATACAAATTATAAAAGCTGAGCTATCTTCATAAACATTGACCTGAAGTTCCAGACCCCAATAATGCTTCATGAAAAACATTTTCTGTCTTCTATTTTGCTGCAATTGTTTGTGTATGTTGTCTTTCTGCTGTTTGAAAACAGCAGTGCATAGAAGGCATGGGAAGTGGAGACCTGTGATCAAGTTCATCACCTCCCACTCTTTACTTTGGAACAGAAGTTATGTTTTCTGTTTGAGAAGAACTGCTTATGTGGTAATGATAATGACGTTGTAGGCAATGTACTTGAAACACTTATAACCTATAAGAGAAACTAAAATGTTCAGATATCAAGACAAGCAGAAGATTGGACTGGAAAAATTTAGGAAGCTGCCCTGAGTAATGTTTAACAAAAGGTCTCCTTCCCACTTAGGCAGTAAAAAAACCTAGAATGAAAATCACTGTTGCCCACAGGTATGACTGAAGTAACTGAATCCAGTGACAACCCTGATGCATGAAGAAACCTTCCCAGGATTTACAAAGCACTTCTGTAGGGCATCACAAATGTTTGTGGCCCAGACTGATTGCTGATGTTCTACAGAATACCACACACGTACTACCACCATCAGGGAAGTTGGAGATAATGTGATTTTGATTCAATCCCTTTCTCTCTCCACTTCGCACACATCATACTCATCTAGTCCTGTGCAAGACTTTCTAAACTGAATCACACATCATGCTTCTTCTGAAATGTGTAAGCCATCTGCCACAACTCTGTTTGGTTTTGAGCCATTTCTCTGTGAATAGGTGCTTATCGGTCTCTTTTGTTATTATTTGTACTTTGAGGTAGGTGATGGGGAGTCCAAGACCACCAACGCTGTCTGTGTCTGACCACATGCTTACAGAATTATTTTCTACAAATAATGGAAGAGCTTCTAAAAACTGTGTTTCTATTTATGCTTCTGTTGGCTGTTTTGTTAGTTCTGGCATGTAGATGTTTTTAATGTGTCAATAAACAAGAATAGTGAGGCAATGTAAATGTATTATGACAATTAGAAGTACTAATAATGCTTCAAAGAGAAGAATTCTAGATTATAAATAAAAAGACAGAGCTTATGATTTGCAATCAGTGCATGCTTATGTTTGAAAGCAGTGTTTTTAGCCAGTGTTTTTAGTGTTTTCAAAGTGTGTTTTGATATATGCAAAGTGCTCCAAGCAGTACTTTTTCCCCCTGTGGATAGTAGAGATGGCCATTGTTGATATATGGGAGGCAAAAGGACAATTTTGTTGTGTTTTCTTTTTAAAGAAAACTGCTGAAGAAGTGGCCTTTCTGTTTCTTTGACCTACATTGGCTCAGTGCTTCGTGTGATCTCCCATAAAGAACTCCATAGCCAGTAATTCTAATCCCTGAAATTTTCTCCCCTAGCACTGTCTAAAAGCAAAAATATGTCTTTCTTTTCACGTTTAGTCTCAGTGGAGCACAGCTGCTTCTGTGGGTTGTGGATAGAAAGGTGATCTGATTTTCTGCATGCACATGAATGTGTGCATCTGAACTATTTTTTCCACAGAAGTTATCCCGAATGAAGCAGAAAAATAAACATGCTGTTCTTTTACAAAATGGTAACCATTTCCATAATTTGATACACTGAAGAATTGGTTTTGTAGAAGAGTCTCCTCTCAAGTTTGCAGCTTTGTGTATGTCAGTGTAAAAGATACAAAATCAAAGAATCATAAAATAATTTTGGATTAGAAGGGACCTCTAGAGGTCATGCTGTCTGAGCCCAACTCAGCCTGTTTTCAAGTTGTTTAAATTTGCTCAGGTTTCTTCTGGTCCAGTTTCAAACACCTCTGAAGACAGAGGGTAGACATTGAAATATATAGGGCACAAAGTACAGGGTTTTTCCATATTCTTCTGTATTTTAAATAGGAATCTCCATAACCAGCTTAGAATTTTCACAGTGAATGTAATCAGTCATATCCATTACTGGAAGTAGAGAAGTCAGCAGATGGAAATTTTCCTTTTTGAGAAGGCTTGAGGGCACAATGAGCCTATCAGGCATATTTGCACTAATAAACAGGCACAGAGATAAGAAGGCACAAGACACAGCCCGTAAGCTTAAGTACAACCAGTCATATTCTAGAAAAAATCTTCCTGCAATCCAAATTTTAAAGGAAACTGTGATTTGCTTTTCATAATAATTTAGAAGTGTCCAGTTCATTTTGGGCCCAATTGCCAGGAATTTTTAGTACATGAATTTATTTTGACTAGGAAATTAATGGCTGCCTAGTAATGGATGTTTAACTTACCAGATATCTAGGAGTTACTGTTTTTTTTCTCCTTGGAAAAGTGTGTTTCTTTCTCACGAAGACAAAGGAGGAGAAAAAAGAGGCATAATTTCATATCAAATTGCATTTAAGTTACTTTTGAACTGAGGTCTTTGAAAGCTGCTTGAAGATTGTGAATGAACAGAGGACAGCAGAGGACCTGATGAAGTCACATCAGTGCAGACTTGTGGGCTGTATCACACACTGTCACCACATGCATATGGCTGCACTTTCTTTGCTAACAGATCCTCATGTCTCATTCATAAAGATGCATGTACATTTGCAAATAGCATTTACATAGAATTAAAGCCCTGCTGTTCTTTCTTCAGCAAACAGAAGTACTAAAACCAGCAGGAGGAGTGGTAAAACGGCAGGTGTTTTGGCAGAGGGCTATGTGCATTGATTCTCCACATGTATTTCTCTGATCCAAAGCAATGTGGTGTCCTTCTTAATGATCCAAAATCAAAACCAAAGTGCCTGGCACTTCAGTAAGAGAAAAGTATCTTGGGCCATGTGCAGCTGCTGATCTTACATCTGTGAGCTACTTTCTTAGTAAGGACCTCATAACGAACAGCTGTTTCATGAACAGCATTTCTATGCCTTTGGATTCTTCATCATGTAAAATTCCTGACAATTAACCTCAGCTCTGCCCGTATTATTTCTGATATATTCACTGGAATGAGAACTCGGTGCTGTGAGCACTCTCGGGCTACACATATGCATATATTCTTTTGCATGGTTGCTGCAAATTATATTTACAAGGGCTGAGTTCTGCATTCCCTCAAACTTTCTCTTTTACTCATCAGTGTTTGACATCAGTTTTAATAGCTGCATTGTCTTCCTCTCTTTCAAACATGATTACAATTGATCACAGTATTTAAGTGATTCAGCTGGGCAGACAAACTCACAGACAATATTTCTGTATAGGTCTTATTTCTTTACAAAACCTGGTGAAAGAATCAAGTTTTGTCATTTTCTGGGCTTTCAAGAAAATATAATTAAGTTCCAGATGTTTCCAGTTGAAGGGATGGCTTGACATCTTTGTGTATATGACAAAGTGGTCTTATTTACCCTGGTCTCTGAAATTACAATGCTGGCCACATGAATGTCCTTTTCACAGTTGTGTCTCTTTTCATTTCAGATTTTCCTGCCTAAAAAACCAGAGCAATAGAGAGAGTGGAGCTCAAGGATGTCAGCTGTGAGGTGAAAACTGGATTTTCTGACAAAAATGGTGAGGCTCGTGTGAGTGAATTTACTCCTAAAGAAAAGCTTACCCATGTTGTTCAGAAAACATATAATGAGAACACTTATTGTTCAGGTAGGAAGAAGTTTTAAGACTTGTTCATCGATGTAATTTGTACAGACAGGGAGACTGATACTCCAGACTAGAAAATCGATGTCCTCACAGATTCTGAGTTCTGGTGATTGCATGCAGAACTTCTGAACATGGAGTGTGTTGGCTATGTTGGGCTTTTACTTTTTTTGCAGGTCAGAAAGTTTGGACAGGTTCAGAAGGGTATCCAGTCTCCAAAAGAAATGGTCTTGACATTTTGAGTTCACATGCAGTTTGTTTGAAACCCTCCTGTTACATTCTGTAGAATGTACTAGGACTGATGGTATTTCCTTATTGGTTTGTAAAACTTAATCATTTCTCCAAATCCTCAAGGTCACTGTTTACTAAGCTACTTATTCCTGTTTCCCAAGAGACACAAAACATCTATGAGGAAAAAATTAGCCTACCAACCAAAATTTGTCAGCTTATTCTGAAGTTTAGATTTAAAGGCTCATGACAAGGAGGAAGCAGGAGGGAAGGTTTAGATTGGATGTCAGAGGGAATTTCTTCACAGAGGGAGTGGTGAGGTGCTGGAACAGGCTGCCCAGAGAGGCTGTGGATGCTCTGTCCCTGGAGTTGTTCAAGGCCAGGTTGGATGGGGCCCTGGGCAGCCTGGTCTAGAACCAGATCTGGAGGTTGGTGGCCCTGCATGTGGTAGGGTGGTAGGAACTTGATGATCTTTGGGGTTCCTTCCAACCCAAGCCGTTCTATGATTCCATGATTCTATGAAGCAGTTAGCATCAAAATCACACCAGCATAACTGCTGATTAAGAAGCCAGTGGCATCTGTTAGCACAGCTCCTATTCGTTCATGCTGCTGTCATTTGCTGTTACTGCCAGCTGATTGTGTGCTGCAGGTAGCCAGCCATAGAGCAAAAGTCTGTATGTTTCCAATAAGATGAAGAGTCTTTTACTGATGGTTTGGAGGCTTAATGGGGTGCTAGATTCAAGCTAGCATAAGCACCGGCTTACCTAATAATTTAGTAAGGGTTTTGCGTTGACTTCAATTACCTCCTTAGGACTAGCTAACAAAGCATAGGCTTTCAGATTGTTGAAGTACTTTCATTGCCAGTGACAAAGGGATCTGTCAACTGGATAGCTGGAGCGGCCATGGTTTTAGTCTGAAAGTACTGTTGCTTTTAACACCCAATGGGATGCAAAGCAGGTAGGAGTTTAAAGTGTCAGGTGTACTTAGTTGGAGGTGCAAAGGGAATTATTGTTCCTAGAGTAAAGAGGGCAGCTGTCCAGTGGCACTAGTTTGGAATTTATCAAGAATTCGCCAATCTGTGTGCTATCTAAGCTTTCTCGAGGTACCTCTTCAGGGCAATACTGCCAAATTCTGAAAATTGTCTTTGCTACAGTATGAAGGAAGCAGAATACAGGATGAACATTTGAACTGCAGAGACATGTGGAAAGTGCTTGCTTTTTGCCAAACCTTTTCAGCTTTTCTGTACTGAATTTGAGTCATTTTTCTTATGCTTTGACTTCTTTGACATTGCTCTTTTGTGGTTACATATTGCATGCATTTGAATTGCTGGTGCAGCTGAAGATTCAAACAGTTAAGGCAAAAGTCCAGCAGTGGTGTCATGTTTTAAAGATCTGACTTGTTCTTCAGTAGCCAACACCTTTCTTAGCTGCAACTGCTCATCTCTTGTACAGACACAGCAAACATTCTCATGAAATGAATGTTTTCATTCTATTCAGTGTGGAGAAAAATGGTGAATGAATTTAATACTGCTTTTAAATTTTCTAGTCTTCTTTATAGTGGATTCTGTTTCGAATATCATGAAAGCTCTGTTAACCAGAAATGACAGTAGTTATTTATATATAACACCTTTCTTCTCATGGTGCTTCAGAAACTGATAAATGAGATGTGATGATCAGAAACAACTGAAATGCAGCCCATTCTGAGGTGAAACACAGCAGCTATAAAATAGCAAAGAGTAACATTTCAAAATGGATTTGGATAGGGCTGAAGGTGAAGATGGTCTTGTGCAAGAGGTGGATATTTCCTCTGCTCTTGTAATTTCCAACAGATTTATGAAAGGTAATTCTTTAGTGCAAGGTATTTATTGAGTATTATGATGACACTTACAGTATGCTTTTTGAGAATCCTTCTTCCTGCGTAATGTTACAGCGTGCTCTTTTGAGCATTTTCAAGCTGTAAAATGTGTAGTGTTTTCTGGTAGGTGATCTAGAGTCTTGCAGGTGCCAGTGCTTGACACGATCTGATTCTGTTTAAGGGATGTGGAAGAAAAGTGATCTCAGTAGTGCCTGAACTTTTAAAAATGTTGGAGATGAGATTATATGCATTTGCTTTTTGCAGTTAACTCCTATTCTGCTTTTTTTGTTTGCTTGTTATTTGTTTGTTTGTTTTTGCCAGCATATTTACCATCATTTTATAATCATGAGTTGAATTGCCACTCACTCTTGCATATACATCTACTTCAAATAGTGCAGATAGTTATTGTATGCTAAACTGAGAAGCATAGCTATTTAGTCTGTTGCAATGCAGGTGATGAGCGCTACCGCCTCTGAACAACTCAGGGCACTAAGCCTGAGTGGAGGCATGGCCCCAGGTGTGGATGGGCAGGACCAAGCAGAGGAGCCTGTCTCCCACCTCCACACCCCACCTACTTCTACTGTTGGAGGAGACCACTTGGCACCCTCTGGGGGAAATATAAGCAATTTCTGGGGTTGATCTTTGTCCTCTGCTGCCTCCTGGGCTGGATATGGCCCTGGAAACGGAAGGAGTGCCTCCAAAGCTGTCTGGGGAGGAAGGTTATGAAGGGGAATTGGTTTACTGCAAAGTTAATTTTGCCACATCTGGGTCGAGGACGTAATGGGAATTTATTGCTTTGTTTCTCCTTCTCTTTGCCCCCTAAGCTTTAGGACAACAAAAACTGATTTTGCATACATTGCTGGAAGTCTGGAACTAGTTTTTAGTAAGCAAAACAATTGTATGGCTTTTCAAGTCCCTGATTTTCTTTAACTCTCCTGAAAAAGCTGGCTTACTTTGTAGCCTGAAATCCAGATGGATCCTCCATCCTGTTAAAGTTATTTTGCTTTTAGTCCAGCTAAAATGTGAGGAAGCAGTGTAGCTATTTGACACATACTGGACCCCTTTGATAGCCATAATAACCTCCAAAATCATATATCTCAAACCAAATTATTTAGCAGATGAACATGCATTTCACGGGAAAAGCATGTTGCTTGGTCAGTGTAGCAGGTGTGACGGGAAATATGCTGTGTTGGTGTCCAGCTAGCACAAGGCCAACTTAGTTCTTTCTCTGCTTCATTGACATTCTTCAGCTTCCTTTTCACATTTTTTTTCTGTTTGTTCAGACAATCTGAATCTCGAAATGATGGAAAGATGCCTGCAGCCTCCTTGGGTAAGTTGGTGCTGTTGGCAGTTCAGCCAAACACTTTGCTATAGCTTAAGACTCCATCAGAAATCCGAAGAACTCAAATGCCCATAGACTCCAGCCCAAGCAGACACTGTGTAAATGTTTAGTCTGAGGTATTTTATTATCTTGTTTCTCTTCTGTTTGAGAACCAACATTTAACCTGTTCTGGATTTTCTTTTTATGCAGTGTTTGAAAAACAGGATAAACCTGTGTCCTTCTAGTCTCAGTGAAAGAACAGAAAATTTACAACACTTTGGGTAAAGAGAGGTGGGAAGTTATTGCTCTGGACTTAGCTTCTGTGAAATCTACGGTTTATGTAAAGAAACATCCTTCTGGCAGAATATTTTCAGAAGTTTTTTCTTTTTTTCTTTTAATTGTAGAGAATTTTATTCAATGTGGATGTGAGAAAACATTCTTCTATTAAGTGCTGGAGAGGATTCAGTGTAAGGGGTAGCTGGGAGATATCATAGATCACATGGAAACCTTCTGAATTGAATTGTTCATAGCAGTTGGTGATTATTACTTATTACAGTAGCTGTTAAATTGACTTTGCTCACTCCTGATGATTTAGCTTAAATATTCACTCCTGAGTAGCTGAAGAGTTGAAGCAGTGGAATTGATTCTACTTGGAAAGAGGCTCTCAGACTTCAGTGCAAGATGTATTTTTTTGGTCAAGTATTTCCTGGCTTGTCTGGCTGGAGTCTTTTTGTACAATTAGAAGGTTTGAAAAGAAGATTGATTTGTTATTTATTGCAGAGCTGCGTGGATGCTATTTCTTTTTTTTAGTTTTACTAGGTGGCATAATGATGTCTATCTTAAAATAAATGCTTTCTGAGAATTTCGTTTTCACAGACATTTCAGATCAAATCCAGCTAAATCACTGGGCCAGCAACCGCCCCAAATAAGAGGTGTTATTAATTTCAGAAGAATAACATCAATGTTCAGTTTGTCCAGGCAGCAGAAAATTTAAGACTAGTCACTAGGCAAGGTTGTTGGGTTGCTATTTTGGTTATTAATCATTTAAGGTAGATTAACTCAATGCCAGTATTACCAGAGTATGCAACTACATACCAGGGACCCAATGAACCAGACCTCATTTGTTTATCTTCTTCTGCATTGCATCTTTGTATTTTATGCTTGTGGTGACCAACAGTACCAAAGCTTAGGAGTTTCTCATATGAGCTTTCAAACTTCTCTTCCAAGAGAACTAAAGGAGAGCAGACTCCTCATTTAGGTACATTTCTGTGATACAGGTGCTAATGAAAAAGAAGGATCTCCATCTGTGTAGGTTGCTGTAATGCTCAATGAGTTGTGTATATTCAGTAATGACTTTGGGACTCGAGACCCCAAATTGGAACCATTTATAGCCTTCCTCCTGCTCTTCATTCATTCAAGTTCACTTTGCTGCAATGCAAGATTTGACAAATGCTTCAGCAATGTTAAGTCTAAATTTAACAAGTTGGGCAGAACTGCAACAACTAAAAGCAATGAGGTCTTAAAACAAGCATGAAAATACATCAAAACTTCAATCATGGTGGATGATTTCTCTGTTTACAAAAACTTGCCTATGTTATAAGAACAGGCAAGACAGAGAACACGAGCTTTTCCTTCCGTGTTTACAACTAAGACAAGTCTATCTTGCTGCCCTAAAACTTTGATCCTCTTAAACGTTATCCCTCTTGTCATTGTACAAAGCTGTCTTCCTTATAATTTAATTAGTAGAGATGCAGTAGACTTTGGGGCACAGAAAAAAACTTTCAGACAGGGTAGGAAAATTTACAGGCAAAAGTACTGCTCTGTTGGGCTGAAAGACAAAGCCATTCCAACCTGTTGCTGTGTCACATGATGGAGGAGTATGAGCCACATTTAAACAGGCTGCCCAAGCATTTCTTACTATCCCCACTCAGAAAATCATGCTGCCAGCTCCAGCTGTCAATATGAATTACATACCTGCACTGTCTTAATTCAGGCGCTTACCAAAACACCTGCAGGTGGTCTTCAAAAGCAAGAAAAATAAAATAGAAATACAGACCTTAAAATTTCTTCTTCCTCATCTTTTTTTTTTTTTTTTTTTAAGCTACAAACAAAAACTTAAGTATTTTCTCTTATTTCCACGCAAACCAGAGCAGACTTTTTGTGTGTGTAAAAGTGTATTGTATGTGACTTTGCATTCAAGACGTTAATTTGATGCTTAATACAAAAGCACTCAGGATGTTTATCTATATTATTCTAACCAACACATGGACATACTCTGCAATAAAGCAAGACTTTCTCAGTCTTTCCTCTTTAATCGTAGAAGAGCTCCCAAAAAAAATGATAATTTGTCTTTTAATTGTAATGGCTTTCTTTATGATCTGATAGTTACAATATATGGCTATGCATCTGGAAGCTTCTTCTACTTATCTTCAAAATATTAGTAAAAAGGATACTAACAGGCAACTAACCAAGGAAATTATGATGCTTGGACTGCGTCTTTGAAAAGGATGTTTTGAGTGATGCATGGTTATAATTTTCCAGATTGTATTCAGATGTCAGAACTGGCAGTTGTTTCCCCAGCCAGCAGGTGTTCAAGCTGATAGATGAGATGATAATAAGAACCAGCAGAAGACTATATGAGGAATTCTATATAGCGCAATGCTCATGCTTGACTACATGCAGAGTCATTAGGCAGTGAAAGTTTTATTTAATCCCCAGACTGATAATAAGAGAGACTGAATTCAGTCACTGAAGGCATCTATTTTTGGTTCCTTTCAGTGTTTGGAGAAAGTCAGTACAGAGATTTATATGAATGCTCCTTTAGTCCTTATTAAAATGAAAGACTTCTCCAGTGTGATTTCTCTATTTACCCCATAACTGTTCCCTGAGCATCCTTGTAAGGGCCACCGAGACGATCTCTCTCAGTGAATTGTCTCAATTGTCTCTCTTCAAACTAAAGTGAAGAAAAAGGGAGCAGTAACACATGAGCTCTGTCCATGAAAAGGCTTGCAGCATGGATGTGGGTGCTGGAGGAAAACTTAAAATGTAATGTATTTTTAACCAGAGTCAAGCTGCATCTAGGCTTTCAAAGCCTTCTGTATTATGGTTCACAGAGAAATCTGATGGGAGAGTTTAGCAAGAATCAACGTTGTATTTCCATACAAACTTGGCGGGGCAACCATGAAAGGAGCACAGAAAAATAAACAAAAGAAGAGCTTGTTTTTTAGGATGTCTCTGTTTTCAGGCTATAGAAAAGATACAGGAGTTGTTCTAAACTTCTGGATGGTCCTTCCAACAGACGTGTGCTGCTATCCTGACACGTACACTCACTTAAAACATACATTGCTGAAATTTCTTCCAGGACAATATTAAGCTGAAAAGGTGGGTGATCCAAAGAAAATGTGCCTGCTGTCCAAAATGCCTGTTGCTCCCTCACTTCAAATATTGACATTCGTCTGGGTGCTTCTCATTGTTTAGGTTGTCCACAGACCAATTTAACTGAGGCTACACTGCCAAGGAATAGGACTTGTCTCAGTAGAAAATTTCATAATCATTACCACTCTTTAGTGCATACTTCGTCTCATCTCAGTTTTTTTTAATTGCTGTCAATGTAGCTTGAACAGTGATGTATGCTGTTGCCTGCATGTCACCACACTATACTGGCCTGCCTTCTCAATAACATGAAATACGCAATTTTTTCTTCGTTTGTGTTCACTTAATGTATGCATTACTAAGTGAGTAATGTTCAAAGATCTGATCATTGCTTTATTACTTTAGGTTTTTAATTCACTGTTGTGTGCTTGGTGTCAGAGAAGCCGTTAAGAGATAGGTATCATGCATGGTAACAGATGTATTGTCAGACAGAAAGTGGATGTCATTCTAGAAAAATGTTTTTTTCACTTTAATTTCCACTCTTAGAATTTTTAAAAGACCTTGGGAGAAAGCAAATTCACATAAAGATTTGTTGATATTAAAGCATGCCTTCTTAGTCTGTCATTACGGTATTGCGAATTTTACTTTGTAGTTATTTTGTAATTTATTTTGTAATTCCTGAAGTTCTGTTGTTATTTCAAGGGGCAGCTTAGTGGCGTAAGAGAATAGGGATAGCAACAGAAAATATGATTAGATGCCTGAGAAAAAATGTGCAGTGAAGATCAAACACTGGAGCAAGTTGCCCAAAGAAGTATTAAAATCTCCATCCTTGGAAGTATTCTAAATTTGGCTGGATATTCTGAGGAACCTGCTCTAACTTCAAAGGCCGATGTGCTTTTAGCGGGGACTTGGATTAGATGACCTCCAGAGGTCGTTTCCAGCCTAAATCATGCTCAAATTCTGAGAATATTCTGCTCTTCTGACAATAGTTTGCAATGAAAGTACTAGTTTACAAAGGCTTATAGAATATGAAATTTTTCAGGCTAGCAATAAGATCAGTAAAATGTGCCCTTGGAATATCCTTTGCAGTAACATCAAGTATTTCACCAAATCACCAAAGACTGAATTCACTACCATTGGTACCACAAAGGTCACTGCTGTCAACCCCTGGCTTATGGGCCTAACGTCTTTTATTTCTGCTGAAAATAAAGCATTGGCCTCTGCTTTCCATTGTAGATCTGCTGGCACTTTGCTAGTTAAAAAAATAGCCTGGATGGAAGTCCTAGTGAATGATTCATTCCATCTCCCAGTGAAGGAAGAATTTTCCCTACTACGTGCTGCTAGCTCCTTTCCTCATCCCATTCTAAGTCTCCCAAATGACAAGGTTTACTCTACTGTATTTGCCAGTCTAATTGTTGACTTAATGAGGATGAGCTCTCTCTGTTGTTTTTCCCTAATGCCAGTCTAAGTTTTCACCTAATACCTCTTTCCTGTTCTCCTATTTCTATCTCACGTATTATATTAATATTCTTGTCTCACTCTTTGGTGTTTAAATTTAATCCACTTGTAGATTATATAATGAACTGTGGTTCACCTCATTCTTTTAGCAGCTTATATGTGATCGCGCTTAATTTCCTCTGAGTATTGCTCTCAGAAATGCAGCCATTTCTTGCATCTCTGAAGTCTTTGGTGTTTGGAACTGAACAGAAATTTCCAAGCCTGTGCCTAGAAGAATTTAGGTAATTGTTCCCTTGCTCTGTGATGAGGTACCTCTGAATAAACAGGGCAGAAGTGCATTTAGCTTTCTTTTACCGATCACAGCTGTAGAAATTTGTCAGTCACTGTCAGGGCTCTTCCAGCATTCCAGCCTCCCCGTGGAGTATTCCCACAGTGTAGGTGTGTTATGGGATGTCCAGAATGATCCTTTCTGATAAGTTGTTAAAATTTACGGGTTCACGTTTCTCATTGGAGAAACAGAAATAGAGGATAAAGGTAGTGAAATGTTTTGTATGCACTGAAACCAGCCAAACCATGGGGTGTGCCACCAGCATAGGTTTCCTTTCAATGTGTTAAAATATCAATAGATACTACCTGCATGCAATATGAAACATAAACTATGGAGAGATTTTCATGCAGCTCTTACCTCATATCAAGTGCTGTAAGATCATCTAGATAGACATGGGATACAATGAGAAATATGATGACAAATTAAGTATGTTGAGCAAGAGAAGAGAACCAAACTCAGTGATAGAAGGGAGGAGGATGGAGCAGGCTGGGGAAATGGTGATTCCCCAATGTAAATACCCCATATAGCTCTCCAACTTAATGTTCACACGATAACCTAACAGCTATCCTAATTCTCATTCCCTCTCCTCTTGCCTCTCTTCTGTCCTCTCTATACCTGTGTCCAAACCTGAGGAGGCCTGAAAGTGTGTCAGTGTGTGTGTGCACAGACTGTGTGCCCAAAAAGACCATTTGTACCTGCTTATCTTTTAGGTATGTTAGTCATTCAGTGCTACCAGGAGTATGTTTTTGTTTAGCTAGAAAAAGAACATGTTCTATTTCACATTGAACTTCCCCTGAGGGAAAAGTGAACAAACATGTTTAAATTGCAAGAAGAAAAATTTTACTAATTCAAAATAATCTAATGGATCTCTAAACTCACAACAGAAGCATGGGAGGTTTGCCTACCAGTGTGAGGATGTGAATCTGAATCATCACAGAGGAAGGCCATTGTGCCAGCAAAGCTCCCCGTTTGCTACATCAGTGCAAGTCAGGGACCCTGTGTTAACTAACAATTCATCAGTCTCCGGCAGTAATTCCCTCCACAGGCAAAAGAACTGTGCATCTACATTTCTACTTCAGTTGTGGTGGGACACACAGGCAGTCTTCCACACAGATAGATATTCAGCCCGTTCCCTGGGGGCTCTTACCACACAACGTCTGACCTAAGGCACACTGAATGCAGTGTTTCTCATTTAGAGACCTGTCTATATCTGCTTCTGTTTGTTGTGAAACTCAACTGTAGAATATGTTAGATAATGTCTCCTTTATTAAGCCTCTAAATAATAGTTGTCTTGCAGCAATAAGCCAGTCACATCTGTCAAAAGTTTGAGAAAAGCTGTACTCAGTTCAAAACAGTACTTTTATTTCCAACTTTTTAACAGAGACCAGCTTCTAAATATGATATCTTTTTGCAAGTGTTTCTGGAAGTCAACCTTTCTGACTGTTTTTCTTTGGCATCTACTATTCCAACAAAGAATGACCTTAATCATTTTATAAAGAGGTAGTTGTTTTTTTCATTTCATAGTTATGAGTAGAGCAGTGTTTAAGAGTTGGTCAATGTTTCCAATATATTCCAGTTTGCCCAACTAAAGTTAAAAGAATAATGGATTTTTGTATTTGGGCATTTCTTTAGAACACCATAGATTTTCCCTTTAGCTTGTCTGTGGACTCTGCTATGTCTCGTGTTTTCCAGCAAGGCTTGCGCTGTCTTTTATCTTGTACCTGTTGAATATTGTCAGCTGTTCTTTAGTTGTGTAATTCAGACGTATAATACTTAAGTATTAAGTGAAAAGCTACTGATGTATCTTTGTGATGCAGAAAGAGGCATCCTAGTTACTGAAATAGATGGGAATGAACTCGTATTTGTGGAATTGTGATCTGAAAGTAGTTACTAGGGGTTGTTTTTAAGTATAAATTAAATATAAATATAAATAATTGTGATAATTTTGTCAAAAAGAAAAGATCCAGAGATATCAATCTGATCAAAACAAGATTTTCCCATGGGAAAATGTTAGTTGTGTTTATGGGGTTGGGTTTTTTTGTTTTGTTTTGTTTTTTGTTTTTGTTTTTGTTTTTTTTTTACTGCCTTCCTCCTCTTTCCAGAGCAAGGTGAAATATCTGCAATTCATTGTTGCAGAACAACAATGCTGTGCTTCTTCCTAAAGGCGGGGATGCCAGGAGTGGCAGCAGGACTGGATCCCTTTGGCCAGGGCCCATCCTACTGTTCCTTGCCAGAGAGCAGGATAGGCCAGAAAGCATCCCGGTCTAGGGCACAGGGCACTGTGTAATGACAAGGCTGGTCCAGGGCCAAGCTAGGAATGTGAGCCAGTGAGTCAGGGTCAGAATCAGGACTGGTGAGGGTAAGCAGAACCAGAGACAGCCAGCCCTCACCAGCCATATCCTTAGTGATGAGGTCCCAGGTGTAGGTTCATGGCCCTGCAGATGGGTCAGCTCTGCTTGATCCCTTCCCACAGTCATCAAAGATTGAGGCCAGTCCCCACCAGTGTCACCTCTAGGTCCACTCTGTGCCACAGAAGCTACACATACAGGACAAGGGATGTTGTCATGGGCCTTACTTTTCTATTTTATTTTTTAAAATATATTTAAGAATCAGTATTTTTCTTCTGGTAGAGACCATTTGTAAGTCTTCATAGACAATCTAAAACTATCTTGATGGTTTTTCCTCAGCGTTTTTCCTACAGTGCTTTTCCATGTAGTCCCAGGAGATATGAGATGGAGAAACTGCTATCTTAGAGATAGGTAGTATTGCATATTCCATAGATCTTTTTAAAATAGAAGTTATCTGAGAGGTCAGAGGGAGAGGATGTGTTCTGCTGAGTACTGTGGTCAGATTGAAGGATAAACATTGTTCGATATTGACTACAAGGATGATGCTAAGATTCTGCTTTACTACAATGTAGTGATCTCAGCCTAGCTCACTGAATACAGCAGGCCATTTTCCCCAATCATTCCCTGCTCTGAATTCCCAATCAGAGGTTGTCTTGGATAAAACCAGCAAGATCTGTGCTAGGGTCTTCAGTTTCCTGTCATCAAAATGACATCCTTTGGAAGTCATTTTCCCCAGAGGGAAGCCCTACCTAGTTTTAATCTCATTAGTGCAACAGAAAGGATAACCAGAAATCTGTATAATGACGAAACAGGGATTTTACACAGAGATACTGAACTTGAAAGGATTGTGAACATTTGTGACATTAGTAACTTACTGCTTATTGCAGCACCTGGCTCTTTGATGAGTTAAACATCTACCATTACAATTGCCTCAAATAATTCAGCAGAGATCATGTCCTAAAATACAACAGAAACTCAGCACTCTGCCTCTGTTCTGTCTTTAGAAATGAGCTGGCTTGTTCCTTGTTGAATTGTATTTTCTTTCCATTGAAAACTTTTCCACTGTAAACTTAGATGATTAGTTTAAAATTGTCTCTTTTGCCCAGCAATGTTGTGTTGTGCAAAGTCTGGTTGTAGCATGACGAGAAATATCTCTCTTTCTGGAACACAAGATATATCTGACCCTTCCTTACCTAATCTACTATTTATTTTTTTTTTTTTTTGAGCAAAATGGGAGGTCAGGAGGGGAGAGAGGGCAGAGGGAAGGGGTAGAAAGAGAAAAGAAAACCATTCAGGCTTTTGCATTGTGCTTTCAGTATAGAAGGGGGCCAGGAAAGCTTAACTCCTGAAGTTTGTCAAAAGTATCATTAAAGAAAACAGTGAAAGAACTAATTATACTGCATCATTCTAGAGATGAAGAGGCTCTGTATTGCAGCAGTATTCTCATGGACCCAAGGGTAGTGTTATTTATTAGAAAAAAATATATAAATCTATTTCTTATTTGGAACCTTTTATGAATTGATCTCTGAATGTTTCACAAGTTGAGTCTCTCATCTCCATTTTACAGATGGAATAACTGAGATACTGTCTGTGAACTGCATGCAAAGGAACACCACGAGCACAAGCAGTAGGCAAAATTTGAGATTTGTGAGCAGAGAAAAGGAATCCATGCTGCCCCTGCAAGTACACCATTACCAGGTAAGAGTACCAAATGATGGGTTAGATTCTGGAGAACCACTCTTCTCTCCCTTCAGAAAGGCACAGTTCTACTGCTGGTTTCAGGAGGACCTGAATTTTAGACAGCTCTTCCATGTAGTAATAATACCCATAATGAAGGCACTGTGAGTAAACACATGTGGTAACATCTTTACAGCTGAAAATCCTTTCTAAATTCCACTTTAAGGTGAAATAGCTGCTGTACAGACTTTCGGCGTATCCGTACTTAGAAGCAATACACCAGGTCTATTGTATCAGCAAGTCATGGTCTTTTTACAGTTATAGTTTTTCCTGTGTACATAATCAGTCAATATTTGGCCCATACAGTTGCTGTTCTTCCTCCAAAAGGGCAGATGGTTAACTTCAGAGTGCCTTGAGTTTCCTTGAGTAGCCTGAGCCTTCTTTAATACAGGGAGCCCAGAGCCTCAGTGGACTACTGACCATCACTTTTAAAACTACTAGATAGAGGAAGAACATCAAAGCTCTCAAACATCTCTCCTGTCAACAATGTCCAACATATCCCTTCCTCTGCCTCCATTTTTTCACTGTCATTTGAACAGTTGCAGACTTCTTTTCAGCCTTAAAAGATGGTTGTGGATTTTTTTGTTGTTTTCTTTTTTACCTTTCTAATGACGTTTTGCATTTTGGAGCTAATCATATATGGAGAGAAAAATGGCTGTATCAGATTGGATTGAGTCATACTCTAGCTAGCCCAGGATCCTGCACCCAAAGAGTGACCAAAACCAGATGCTTGGTGAAGAGCATCAGGATGGGGCAAGCTTTCACTTAATACGTTGCCAGCATAGTCATATTTTCCAAGCAACCTACAATACAGAAACTATCTGCAGCAGGGATGGTTATGTGTTTAAGTTCTATCAGGGAAAGGGGAACATCAGGAGAGAAGACATTGAGTCTAGGTCTCACATTCACATGATCAGTACATTCATTTGTTTGATACTGCATTGCTTTCTATTTATTTCATGGATTTCTTTCTGCAGTTCATATAATTTATGAATTATTTTTCAGAAAATCCATTCTTACTACTTGGACACTAGAGAGAATTTTTATTACAGCATGAAGAATTTTTCTAATCTGATGTCACCTAGCTCAGAAGTATTTTCCCTTTTACCATGTCTGCCTGCTAGCATTGTTTCCAAAAGATGCTGAAATCAAATTCTGCCTGTTTCATGTTTAAATCTTTACAAACGTCTCTTGAAAAAGACCAAACACTTAGTTCCTGACAGTAAACAAACACCTTCCCTTCCTTTTGTTGTAATTTCTTACTGGTATGTTCAGGTTTTATTTTCAGAACAACGTGACATGTTTTGCTAATGATGTACTATTGTCTGGCATAGCATATGGGTTCCTCCTTGTTGTTTTTTTTTTCTTTTTAAGAAGATCTGCAGCTGCTTCTCCAAGTAGCTGAGCAACTAACCCACGAAAATTGGGACAGTATGTTAAAGTACATAATGTGCTATTTAATTAACTTCCTAACATACCTGTCCAAAACCAGAGTCTAGTTGTAGCAGAAAAAAGTATGTCTCCTATCTAAACAGTCTCAGTAGACAAGTGGCATTTCTTGAAGGAAAAACTTCATTCAGTATACAAGCATAGGAGTAACATGCATTACAAATTTAATCTCAGAAGGAAGTGGAAGTGTATAATCTTAATAAGATTATAAAGAAATAAGAAATTACAATTTTGTATTTATAAGAAATTATAATTTATAAGAAATAAAGAAGTTACAGTTTTGATTCTCAGCAAGTTACTTTATTGTGATTTTGGGTAATTACACACACATAGCTTCAAGGTTTTCTTTTACGTGCTCCAACAGATTACTTAGATTGGACCAACAATTAAAATCTCACTCCACTTCCTTAGAGAACTTACTGAATAAGGACCAATCCTACAAAAAATTCATATTGATATCATTTGATCCAGTTGACTCTCAGGAAAGTACTCATTTGTAAAGTGAGACATATCTGTAAGTCTTGAAGGATTAAAGTCTTCCCCAGAAGTCTTGTCTCAGGCTTCAGTCCATGTGCAAAATGCACATGTAAATTTCTCATCAGTTTGCTTTGTGAAAATTTCTTTTGTGTGTCCACACACTGTGCGTCATTTACAGTACAATTTGAATTCTTGTATATTTCTTTGTTGCACCTCCTGAGACACATGGCCCAAGATGTGAGAAGTAAAAATGTCTGTGTAAGAATGCCTTAACACCTCAGGGCAGCAAGAAGTGCTGAAGCATCCTCTGGTATTAATAAAAGACTTCGGTTTGTGCCTTGCTGTGCTTTGTACAACACTTATTCTGTAGCAATACAGTGAAACAGAATGTGGCAGGCCCACCACGTGCACATGTGACAAATCTCATGCTGCCAGTGAGAGACGTTCATTCCTGTTTCCCACTCTCCAGCCTCAGCTACTGCAGCTCCTAGAGGGTACCGTTTTCCCTGCCACAAGGACCCTCCCAGGCTGCCCAGCCATTTGGCTCCATAGGAAGGAGTTACAGAATTCTTGCTGCTTATAATTTAGGAAGACAAATGCCCTGCCAGAAGCTGAAAATGTTAAAAACACAAATACGATTATTCTTTCTGTACTCATTCGAGTGCTTTGATTTCAGAAAGACTGTTTTCATAACTACCTTCTAAATATTACTCGTTACCTTCCTGGCTGCTTTGCATGTTGTTTTTCTTTTCACTTAAGATGTATTGCTTACACTGGGAGAAGCTGTGTGGCCCCGTTTGACTAGTTTGACTGGCCTCATACAGTGTGAGAACAAGGACATATGGCAGGAGTTAGCACATCCAACATCCAATTTGCCACCCATGTATGGCCTTCAGCAAGTTGTCTCTTAACACAACATGTCAGTTCCCCTACGCATTTGTGAAAGGAGTAGAGACAGTAATATCTTCCCTATGGTAATACCCTGAATGTCTCTTAGAGATCATACTGAGCATGGGATGCCCAGTGCTTCTCAGGAATGAAGTACCTGTGAAAGCGCTACTGGCAGAAAGTTGGACCCTGACCTCATGCAGCATCCTCACCTTACCACGACAGTTGTCTGTGCACACTCCAGCAGACACATCCCCCTCTGTTTTGTAAGTGGATATAGTCAGAAAAATGTATCATAGAGAAGAGATTGTAAGGGGAACAAGGAGTAAGCTGGAGGTGAGGTGAATGTTGGCCTACATCTCACCAACATCATTCTCCCTAGAGGAAATCAAAGAAATACGAGCTTTGCAGACACCGGCCTTAGTTTAAATGCCTTCTGTGGTAAGTTTGATTCCAGCTGTTGTTGGATACCTGTGCTTGGATTTCACATAATTTTTCCAATGGAATAATTCTGTAAGTATAATATTAGAAATGTTTGTTATTTTTCTTGGAAGACTTTTTTTAATAATAAAACTAGAAGCTTTCTAACCGTGACTTAACTACAATTCTTCTATACAGTCCTGCTATTTATTTTTTTTTAACTGAAATTACCTAGAAATGTGAAGGCCGTGATGATCAATGGGAGCTGATCGATGTTTGGCAGGTTCTGCCGAGGAAACCTCTTAAACACAACAGGTTTTTAACCTGAAGAACAATGTTTTCCATTATCCCAAAGCTCAAGTGACTCATAGAAATAAGCAGGTCACATAGAGAAGTAATGTGTGTGGATTACTGAGTTCACCACTTTCTTTTTTATCTGTAACAAACAGACGTGTTCCTCACTTCAGTTGTAAATTGTTCTGAAACACTCAGAAGGACCTTACTACTAATGGTTGTTGAGTACATTTAACTTTTGCCAGCCAGCTCAAGGATGGCTTTGAGATTTGGGTTACAGCTGAATTCTTTTCCAAAAGAACAGAAAGACAGACATTCCGCAGAAGTGTAGCTTGCAGTCTGTGAATTTTTATTAAAACATGTAACCTTACTGAAAATGGAAGCCTAGTATTTCTACTTGAAACTGAAGAAGGTATGACTGTATGAATAGGTGCACTTTTTGATGGGTTATTCCTTTTAAACATGATTATCAGAGAAACAGTTTAAGGGAACGATTTCTGTTGTTGCATGTTATTCATGTAAAGCGATGTGTTATGATTGGTTTTATTAAACATTGATCAGGAGGATCAGCCAGGGAGCCAGGCAGATCTCTGTGATAGCTTTCCTATGGGCTGTTTGCTCAGGTGTAGGAAAGGCAGCACTGATGTTTCAAAAACACAGTTCCCTAACTGTTTTGGAAAGAACTGGAAAAACAATAGTTACATCAGGTCCCTCTGCTCACAGAGCTTATTCTTCTGTGGAAGCACCTGTATTTAGAATCCACTGTGTACTGCCTCAGTCATGAAGCCAGGAGAGTTATTACTGGCAACGTTTTCAAACCTTAGATGCCTAGATTTAAGCATCTAAATATGTGGTTTGATTTCTGAAGTGAACTGAATGCACACACGCACACAGGCATTATACACACACACACGTTTTATTGAAATCAGCTGGAGAAGCTTGGTCATGAGCATTTTTGAAAATCAGGCCACTTATTTAACTGTCTAAGTATGGATTTATGAGCCTAGCTTCAGGCACACCCAAGTCTAGTCATGGCCTCACATAGATACAAGCGTATTATCACAGCACTGCACAGTGCAGACTAATTTTCAAGTCCCCTTCCAGCATCACACTTCTTAAAATTAGGCTTGATGAAAATAAAATTGGGGTAATTATTTCCATATATTAAAACCAAGGATTATTATTGTTTCATTTCTGGAAGGGAAAGGATTTTAACCTTCCTCTGCAGTAACTGGAACCTAAATATTTCAGCCCGACTGCAAGCTACTGAGAATCAGAAAATGAGACTCGTTCATTGCCCGGTTTTCTATTTTTCTTTTGAACATCACAGTGCTTACTGAATTTCATGTGATTATTGCTTATAAAGAGCAAAAGGATTGCCAGACAGCCCTCGAAGTGCTGTGAGAGCATTGTACACGC